ATTGCTTTGAGACAGTAAATGGCTTTTTCTAGAGTTTATTAACGTTAGAATTTGTTATAAAATAATTAATTTGGTTGATTACAAGTCCTAGAGATGCATAATGAATGTTTAGAAGTGTGAAAAAAACATGTTGAAATTTGGTCCCAAATGGGATAAGAACCCAGAACCATTGATTTGAGGAAATAAATGCCTTGTCTAGAGTTGTTTAGGGTTAGAATATATTAAAATACAATGAATTTGATTGATTACAAGTCCTAGAGATTCATGAAGAATGTTTAGAAGTGTGACGAAAAACCTGTTGAAATTTGGTCCCAAATGGGATTAGAACCTACAACCATTGTTTTGAGGCAGTAAATGGCTTATCTATATTTGTTTAAGGTTATAATATGTTATAATATAATAATTTTGATTGATTACAAGTGCTAGAGATGCATGAAAAATGTTTAGAATTGTGACGAAAAACTTGTTGAAATTTGGTCACAAATGGGATAAGAACTTACAACCATTACTTTGAGACAGTAAATGGCTTTTTCTAGAGTTTTTTAAGGTTAGAATTTGTTATAAAACAATTAATTTGGTTGATTACAAGTGCTAGAAATGCATGATGAATGTTTAGAAGTGTGAAAAAAACTTGTTGAGATTAGTTCCAAATGGGATAAGAACCCACATCCATTGCTTTGAGGCAGTAAATGGCTTTTTTTTTTTTGGACAAACAATAACTTTCATTCATCTAAAACCTCAAAAGAGGGAAGTTCACACAACTTGAAACAAAGATAATACAATGAAAAAGCAGATAAGGGTTCCATGAGTTTTCCAAAAGGATGATAAACTTTGAGAAGCTTGCAATTTTTGGAGAATCTTTTGGGACCATAGCCGATTCGACCTTGAAGACGGGCTTCGCGGAATCCTCGACCAAAAGGTCATAGACGGCTCTTGCAACAAATGCATCCGAGCTTTTGAAAGATTGCTCCACAGAGGAGACACAAATTGGGTTTCTCACCAGCATGAGTAGGTTTAAAAGCATTGGATCAAAGTCCTTCAATCTCTTAGAACCAAAACTCAAGATTGTAGATGAAGCTAAAAACAAGACACTTACAAGGTAGATGCAAAACCGTAACAGAGCAAGTGGGTCCTCCCTCACATGAAGCACGCAGCTATGGAGGTTAAGGAATTCCACACAAAGCGTGTAGTCGGTTTGGCAAAGAAGAATAAGAACAAATCCGAGCTTCAATCTTTTAGGCAATGGGTAGTAATTGGGATTTATGGGGGCTGTGAAGGTGTTGGAGAGGGTTGTGTAAGACTTCAAGTTGCGCTTCACACTTGATGGCGATTGCTTGAAGACAAAATCCTTGATGTTGTGGATATGTATTTGTTTAGGTCTGGGGATCATATGAGACAAAGATGAAAGGTTGAAGAAGCTTCGGTAACCACCGTTCCGTAGAAACGGGATCATAATGCCGTGCTTATTCAAGCTTTTACAATCATGAGTAATAACCCTATGTGGATCTAAAGGCAAGGTTCTCAGATAATATTTGTACCACCATAGCATCAATGTTTGATTATGTTCCAATTGCAGTCTTCGAACAACTGTATCCATGTATCGAAACAGACGTATGCTAAGAAAGAACATGGAAAGTTTTGGACCAGACATGGGCTTTTGGAAATTATTCCTTGGATCACACCTTTTAGAATTGAGCCTCAATGAGAAATGAGATGGGCCTGAGCCCAGCTGGCTGAAAGAAGATGTGTCCTAACGAGAGACACCTACAGCAATTAGGTTTGTGCCGCCGCTCATCATCTTTCTCTTCACCGGAGCAGTCACCGATGCTAGTTCAGATCTAGAGCCAAGTAAAATGCCGATGAAGCCTTGATCTGATATTTGAGAGGAGGAGGAGCTGCTGGACTGTTCTGAAGCTTCTGTTGCCGAGTTCAAAGGCGGGACTGCATCCGAAATCTGGTTAAGATCGGAGCTTATAGAGCATGATCTTATTCTTCCCATGCCTAAGGAACCCTCAGGGAAGTAGACTAGCTGAAAGGAGGTTTTTGGATAATTTGAGGGACTTGGGCTAAAACAAGAGCATAAGAGGAAATCAAAGCTTAGAAAAAGTTTAAAAAGGTTAAAAGGATTTGTCGCCCCCCGACGTCGGCGAGAAAAAGCCTCACCGACGCCTGAAAGCATGGTTGTAAAGGAGGTCTCGATTCCTGTACCTGGGAGCGTTTTACCTTTTTTTTTTTCACTTGATTAATAATGAGGCAGTAAATGGCTTGTCTAGAGTTTTTTAAGGTTAGAATATGTTATAAAAGAATTAATTTGATTGATTACAAGTGCTAGAGATTCATGATAAATGTTTAGAAGTGTGAAGAAAAACTTGTTCAAATTTGATTCCAAATGGGATAAGAACCCACAACCATGGCTTTGAGGCAGTAAATGGGTTATTTAGAGTTCATTAGGGTTAGAATATGTTATAATACAGTAAATTTAATTGATTACAAGTGCTAGAGATGGATGAAGAATGTTTAGAAGTGTGAAGAAAGACTTGTTGAAATTTGGTTCCAAATGTGATAAGAACCCACAACCATTGCTATGAGGCATTAAATGGCATGTCTAAAGTTGTTTAGGGTTAGAATATGTTATAATACATTGAATTAGATTGATAACAAGTGCTAGATATACATGAAGAATGTTTGTAAGTGTGAAGAAAGACTTGTTGAAATTTGTTTCCAAATGGGATAAGAACCCACAACCATTGCTATGAGACATTAAATGGCTTGTCTATATTTGTTTAGGGTTAGAATATATTATAATAAAATGAATATGATTGATTACAAGTGATAGAGATGCATGAAGAATGTTTAGAACAGTGAAGAAAAACATGTTGAAATTTGGTCCCAAATGGGATAAGAGCGCACAACCATTGTTTTAAGGCAGTAAATGGCTTGTCTAGAGTTGTTTAAGGTTAGAATATGTTAAAATACAATGAATTTGATTGATTACAAGTCCTAGAGATTCATGAAGAATGTTTAGAAGTGTGAAGAAAAACTTGTTGAAATTTGGTCCCAAATGGTATAAGAACCTACAACCATTGCTTTGAGGCAGTAAATGGCTTTTTCTAGAGTTGTTCAGGGTTAAATTATGTTATAATACAATGAATATGATTGATTACAAGTGCTAGAGATGCATGAAGAATGTTTAGAACAGTGAAGAAAAACTTGTTGAAATTTGGTCCCAAATGGGATAAGATCGCACAACCATTGTTTTGAGGCAGTAAATGGATTATCTAGAGTTGTTTAAGGTTAGAGTATATTATAATATAATGAATTTGATTGATTACAAGTGCTAGAGATGCATGATAAATGTTTAGAAGTGTGTTAAAAAAAACTTGTTAAAATTTGGTCACAAATGGGATAAGAACCTACAACCATTGCTTTGAGACAGTAAATGGCTTTTCTAGAGTTTTTTAAGGTTAGAATTTGTTATAAAACAATTAATTTGGTTGATTACAAGTGCTAGAGATGCATGATGAATGTTTAGAAGTGTGAAAAAAACTTGTTGAAATTCTGTTCCAAATGGGATAAGAACCCACAACCATTGCTTTGAGAAAATAAATGCCTTGGCTAGAGTTGTTTAGGGTTAGCGTATGTTATAATACAATGAATTTGAATGATTACAAGTGCTAGAGATGCATGAAGAATGGTTAGAAGTGTGAAGAAATATTTGTTGAAATTTGGTCCCAAATGGGATAAGAACCCACAACGTTGCTTTGAGAAAATAAATGCCTGGTGTAGATTTGTTTAGGGTTAGATTATGTTATAATACAAAGAATTTGATTGATTACAAGTGCTAGAGATGAATGAAGAATGGTTAGAAGTGTGAAGAAATACTATTTGAAATTTGGTCCCAAATGTGATAAGAACCCACAACCATGGCTTTGAGGCAGTAAATGGGTTATTTAGAGTTAATTAGGGTTAGAATATGTTATAATCAATAAATTTAATTGATTACAAGTGCTAGAGATGAATGAAGAATGTTTAGAAGTGTGAAGAAAGACTTGTTGAAATTTGGTCCCAAATAGGATAATAACCTCAACAACCCAAAACCATTGCTTTGAGGCACTAACTGGCTTGTCTAAACTTGTTTAGGGTTAGAATATGTTATAATACAATGAATTTGATTGATTGCCTGTTAATTGCTAATATATAACATGCTCCCAAGAGTGAAGAAAAACTTGTTGAAATTTGGTCCCAAATGGGATAAGAGCGCACAACCATTGTTTTGAGGCAGTAAATGGCATATCTAGAGTTGTTTAAGGTTAAAATATGTTATAATATAATGAATTTGATTGATTAAAGTGCTAGAGATGCATGAAAAATGTTTAGAAGTGTGACGAAAACTTGTTGAAATTTGGTCCCAAATGGGATAAGAACCTACAACCATTGCTTTGAGACAGTAAATGGCTTTTTCTAGAGATTTTAAAGGTTAGAATTTGTTATAAAACAATTAATTTGGTTAATTACAATTGCTAGAGATGCATGATGAATGTTTAGAAGTGGGAAGAAAAACTTGTTGAAATTTGGTCCCAAATGGGACTAGAACCTACAACCATTGCTTTGAGGCAGCAAATGGCTTGTATAGAGTTTTTTAAGGTTAGAATATGTTATAAAATAATTAATTTGATTGATTACAAGTTCTAGAGATGCATGATAAATGTTTAGAAGTGTAAAGAAAAACTTGTTGAAATTTGGTTCCAAATGGGATAAGAACCCACAACTATTGCTATGAGGCATTAAATGGCTTGTCTAGATTTGTTTAGGGTTAGAATATATTATAATACAATGAATATGATTGATTACAAGTGCTAGAGATGCATGAAGAATGTTTAGAACAGTGAAGAAAAATATGTTGAAATTTGGTCACAAATGGGATAAGAGCGCACAACCATTGTCTTAAGGCAGTAAATGGCTTGTCTAGAGTTGTTTAAGGTTAGAATATGTTATAATACAATAAATTTGATTGATTACAAGTCCTAGCGATTCATGAAGAATGTTTAGAAGTGTGACGAAAAACTTGTTGAAATTTGGTCCCAAATGGGATAAGAACCTACAACCATTGCTTTGAGGCAGTAAATGGCTTTTTCTAGAGTTGTTCAGGGTTAAATTATGTTATAATACAATGAATATGATTGATTACAAGTGCTAGAGATGCATGAAGAATGTTTATAAGAGTGAAGAAAAACTTGTTGAAATTTGATCCCAAATGGGATAAGATCGCACAACCATTGTTTTGAGGCAGTAAATGGATTATCTAGAGTTGTTTAAGGTTAGAATATGTTATAATATAATGAATTTGATTGATTACAACTGCTAGAGATGGATGAAAAATGTTTAGAAGTGTGACGAAAAACTTGTTGAAATTTGGTCTCAAATGGGATAAGAGCCCACAACCATTATTTTGAGGCAGTAAATGGCTTATCTAGAGTTGTTTAAGGTTAGAATATGTTATAATATAATGAATTTGATTTATTACAAGTGCTAGAGATGCAT